ACATCGCCGTTCCGTGAGCAGGGGCCAAGGGTCTCGAAACACACCGCTGCCAGACTGGATGAGACAAAAATGGATGCGACAAAGTTCGGACGAAAAGATGGGACAAGGAGCCGATCGTTCATGCTTGCTTCTGTTACGGCACCCTCGATCCCAAGGCAATATATGATCAACCCCTGTCGATACCACACCTACCAGGGTTACCAGGGGTTGGGGGGCCTTGGCCGCCCTTGTCGTGGACTTTGGGGGTTGGTCATCTCCCTCTTGGCTCGTGCCCCAAGTTCATCAAGCATCAAGCACGGGAGAGAGACATGTGCTTGATCTTGATTCTGATGGCACCCCGCCACTTCAGCATGGCCGCCCGTTGCGCCGGTGTCAATGTGGCGCTAGCTACCGGCACGCCAAATCTTGATGACTTGGGTGCCCCAATGTGCACCACATGACATCGGTCAAAAGATGGCTGGCGCAATCTGGAGTATGGCCGACGAGACAACGAGAGAGGAACCTTTAGCAACCGGATGACGAAAGAAAGAACAACTCAGGACTTCCACGGACGCGCATTTTTCCCCTTCTTATTCTTGTTTGGGGAATTCGGTCATCGACAGCAAGCATAGACTGTGATGCACTCATCAGATAGAACGTGGAGCGCGGCCAGGGTGTGCGCCCCACCGCTCAAAATACCACCGCCAGTCGGCTGATCTTGGTGATGTTCTCAAGATGGTTGTTCGGAGGTATTATCCTGCTCACAAATTTGGCTTTTAAGATTGTCATCCTGCGGGTCGCAATTGGAAGAGGAAGTCAAAAGCCTCAACGGGAAGCTTTGGTGGTTGTATATCATATACAGACAATATCGATCAAACCAGAGACATCCCGCTAGGAACTAGTTGAAGTCCTTGTCATTTCCGCCAACCTGGCCAACCCGCAGCTGGCTACGCTCACTCAATACACATTTTTCCAAGTACTTCGTGCTACGTGGTGCGCCCTTCCAAGAAAAGGAGGAGGTCAGTGCTCTGCTGCCCGTCGGAGGAACCTTAATTGAGGCGCAAGCCGGAAAGATTTTGCCATGCCGCTTTGCGCTGACCTCACAATCATGATTTACTGGGGTCCGTCCTAGTCCTTCCGCTGGTGTCATCTCCCACATTATGGTATCCTTGGCTCATCCTTGGAAGGATGCTCTTTGCGCAGCGTCAATTCGAGGCCGTCCTTATCATCGTGAGAGGCCATGCATATGGACTGAAGTGCATGACACAGAGTCTCAGGGACAATAAGCTCTAGAGCATTGTATACTGACGCGGCGCATGCAGTTACGCAAACTTTCTGGACTGTCGCGCATTTGTCATCACGACCAGTGGCTCCTCGCTCGGGCAAATGCTGACCG